AAAAAAAAAAAAAAAAAAAAAGAAGATTTACAGCATTCAAGTAAACTCGAAAACAGCTCAGCAACAAAATATGTTAGTACTCGTATCATACACACTTGAATAAAACAGTAATGATGAAAAGGTAAATTATACACCGTGAAAAGATGAAAAAACTTACTTAAGTAAGTTTTTTCACGTTTTCATCATTACTGTTTCATTAGAAACACCGACGCAGCTCACACTAGTTTTTAGCTAGTTATACACTTAAATAAAGACAAGTTGAGTAACATTTCTAAACGAAATTTTATGGAATATTCGCTTATTTTACAGTGTAAGTAAATAAATTCTTGAACGGGATTAAAACCCGTGTGCTGGCGATTCCGGTGCCATGCTCTAACCACTGAAATTCCAAGTGTCATATGAGACTTAATACGCATAGCTCTTATTAGCGGGACGCAAGAGGAACCCAATATTTTTGCTTACCAGCTTTCATGATGATGCAGTTTTGTCCTGAAAAAGTACACGGAAATCTCCAAAATTTCAAGTTAAATGAAAGACATACATTGTAATTTTCACTAAATCTGATATCGTGTTGAGTTATCTGTAGTTATCTTTCATTTGACAAGTGAAACCATCCAAAAAAGCAAAAAAGTGTCGACCATAGAGAACTTTGTGGAAGAATTTTTCATGAACAAAACTAGCCCTGTGGGGTGGCTGGTGGTGGGTCGTGTACACGTTACAAAAATCCTGTGCGGGAGAGCAGTAAGGTCGAAATTCGTTCTCGCCCGAGTCCTACGCGAGTAGTAACTTTGACATAACATGGCAGAAAATTTTCTGCAAGCGAAAAATTTTCTGCACGAAAATTTCACTCATAGAAATCTTGTAGGAAGAGCCAAAAGAGTTTTATATAAATGAATCCCCCATCGTAGGGATCATTTTGATCAAGTTTTTTGTGGAGTTTGAGGTTTAAAARACAATAAAATTGTGGTTCAAAGTGAGTTGTTTTTTCAAATATGGCGACTGTAGTTTCCTCCCTTGTCACAATATATATACATAAGATCAACATCAGATACAATAGGGAAATTATATAGGAAAGCAAAGGCGCGCGCGAAAAAAAAATTTTCTAGTAGATTTTTCATTGATTTTTTTGCTCTTTCGCATTACGGAGGACATTATCTTGATCTCGAATTTAAAAAATAATTGATTATTTAATTTTTCCGATTTTATTTTCACCATTCACTTTAATCTAAATTGGGCCCCCTGTGGTAGAATCAGAGTTCAGAGGATCATTGCGCGCGCAAAACAATAAACACAATTGTGAAAAGTGGGTCCAGTTCTGGACTAGAGTTCAAGAAGGATTCAGAGGAGGTTATCCACGAAATTGCCATGCGGCAGTTTGATTTCTTATGTTTCCTCTCTATTCTGAAGATATGGCCATGATGGCTTTAGTTGATCTAGGATAACAGGTAGTCCTAATCTTCCTCCATATTGCTTTGGGGGTACCACGGGCTACTTGTGCAATCCAATTGTTAGGAGAAATTAGAAAAAGATTTAGGACCGTTGACTGAGATCACTGTTTCTGGGGCCCATAGCGGGCGAAAATGGAATTGAGATGTTCGACAACTTCTCCTGACGTTGCTTTTGAAACCCGTTTTACGAAACTTCCATAATGATGATATAAGGCGGTTGTATACCTTATACCTCGGTGGATACGAGATATCTTGTACCCATCTCGGTAACGATATGATATAATATTTACATACTTTTACATCTTTTATCCAAGTATATCATATTAGAGTGGCGTCATCAGTCATGTTAGTTAATTGCACAGAAGAAACAAAGATATACTCGGAAAATAAATGTTGTTTGTTGTATTTAATATGTGTAATATTTATGCATTTGGTATTTTGTATGGTAGATAACTTTTTGTGGTAACTCACAGTATTTGTATATTCAACAGGACTATAGCTCATCAGTATCCAGAGGTTGTTGATAAACTTATTCTTCTCAGCTGTCCACACCCCATGTAAGCCATATAATCATATGTAATATAGGGAAGTAGAGAGAATAAGAGAAAAATATCAAATGCCCTTGGCAGGATTCGAACCCACGTCTTCGGTATTCTAGTCCGATGTGTTAACCACTACACTACAAGGACCAACCACGCTGGTAACGCAGCCAGAATATGAAATGTAGGGTATTCGTGAGGATCCCAGAGCGATATTTTTTCTCTATAGATAAGTTGAACACCGTAAATATGTACGCAAAGAATAGACATAGTATAGTAGTAATGAATTATGCGTTCGGTGTATATATAATGAAGTAGAGAGAATAAGAGAAAAATATCAATAATATAGGGAGATGGTGCTCTGTACTACCTATGATATAATCGTGTATCTCTTATGACTTTTTGTCATTATGTTTCTAGGTGTGCCGATAAATATACTATCACTCACCCGTCACAGTTAATGATCAAATCATGGGTATGAAACAAATTACTGCAAGTCTCAGTATAGTCTTCCTACGTAGCCTCTTTAGTGTCGTCACTCAACGGTTACTCCCCTAAGTAGCTACTTAGTGGAGGGAGAGTTGCGTGACGACACCAATAGCGGCTGTGTGGGAGACTAGTTTCAGTGTAAATTGAACCAAGAAAAAATGAACTAAGAGAAGGAATCTCCGCTCACCATCATGAGCACTCTTTGATGCTATTTTTAAGTCGTAACCGACTTTGTAGATTACCTGTGTAATCAGCTTCTGACGTAACTTGATTCGATTGATTGTGACGTAACTAGACGCAACGATTTTCTTACGCGCACGCTACAACATCAAGCGGTGCAGCTATAGATTATGAATAAATCGTGCAAACTCATCCAACGCTCTCCYACATTATTCAACCGGCCTTGGACATTGGTGCCGAAACCCAGCTTTGTCACAAGAACAGGAGATACAAAAGGCGAAGCATGTCAGAACCGCCCACAGAGGCCACGTCAGTCATGACCTGAAAAAAGCGATGAAGCTCATTATGGAAGAAGATCCGGCTGACTCCAGTGAACTGGAAGCCCTTCGCGAAAGACTTATCAGGTTAAGCGAAGAACTAACAAGGATGGATGATGCAATCATCAAGTTCTACAGTTCCGAACAAGATATCGAGAGGGAAATAGAAGATGCGCTAAAGTGGAACGACGAAATCATGGATTGCAATACAGCAATCAAGAGGTTTCTGAGCAAAACTTCGACGCAATTAAATCAGCAAACGGCGAGTCCGTTCCAATCGTCCATTACTGAGCCATATCCAAAACATAGAGTAGCCACTAATCTACCGAAGCTAAAGCTGAAATCCTAATAAGCTGGAATGGCAAACGTTCTGGGAAGGGTTCAGCTCAGCAATTGACGAAAACCCAGAACTTAGCAACATTGAAAAAATGAACTATCTAAGCGGGCAACTAAAGAGGGGAAGCAGCTCGCGTGATAGCGGGGCTACCACTTACACAAGGAAAATATTGCAAAGCAATAAAACTGCTGCGCGAACGCTACGGACAGAAGCAAGCGCTCATTAACTGCTACATGGATGCACTTACCAAAATCCCTCCTACATCTAGCGATATGAAGAAGCTTGGAGCATTCTACGATTCATGCGAAATTATATACGCGGTCTAGAGTCTCTGGGTGTGTTATCAGAATCATACGGCAGTCTGTTGATGTCAATGCTCATCAAGAAAATACCAGAAGAAATAAGGCGCGCGATTTTTAGAAGTTGCCCAAAGGCAGACAGCTCAATAAACGAGCTGAGAGCAGCCCTTCCTCGTCGGTGAACTTGCCATCTTCGTTCTTCAGCAATGGACGCCTTTACGCCCACCGCGGGAGCCCTGCTCTCAACAACGAGAAACAAAACGACCCCAGGCAAGGCCTCAAGGGACAGACCAATCACCCGAACATACCCATACTACAACGAACAGCATCGACCAGACAAAGGATCGCCCTTCTCCGCCAGCAACGTCGCTGCTTCAACTGCCTTGGAACGAATCACACTATCAGCAAATGTTTCTCAAAAGGAAGATGCCTACAATGTAAAGGAAAACATCACGCCTCAATTTGTGAAGCCGGAGAGTCAAACCCACAACAGTCAGATCCTACCCAATCGGAAGCCGAGAATAACCCACCCAGCGAGCCCCCAGCAAGCACGTCAAAACCACAGACCACACATGGGGACCACGTAGGTACCCTATACTAAAGGAATGATCTTAATGCAAACAGCACTCGTGAGGACGGTGGGACCACAAGGGAAAACCCATTTCGCAAGAGCTCTCTTCGACTCAGGGTCACAAAGAACATTCATCACGGAAAAGCTAAAATAGGCTCTAGTAGGCCTTCAGCCGTTACGACAAGAACCTTTATAGGTGACGACGTTCGGCTAGCGGAGTATGCAGTCGTGCAGTTTCACATCCAAACAGAGCAAGAGAACGTCAAGCTAGAAGCGTTAGTCACTCCAACCATATGCCCTCCACTATCTCACAAAATGAAAGGTAATATTATGGGGCATGAAGAACTACAAGGACCCAAATTAGCGGACCCACATCAAACCGACAAACAACTTAGTGTCGACATGATAATTGGAAACGACCTTTACGGCTACATGTTTACAGGGGAAGTGGTGAAATGCTCTGACAGTGGAATCATCGCCATGAGCAGCAAATTCGGATGGCTAATCTCAGGACCCGTTAGCCAAAGCAATACCGACAAAATCTCTAACGCGTTATACAGTCGTATAAACATCACTGAAACAGGTCAACGAACCACTAAATGAGATCCTCCCTAAATTCAGGGAAATCAACAAAATCGACGCACCGGAAGACACAGACAGAGAGCGATAAAATTCAACGACACCGTTAACTTCAATCAAGAATCAGGACGGTACGTCGTCAGGCTTCCATGGACAGAGAACAAACATGAGGCTACCCAGTAACTTCGGGCTGAGCAAAAGAAGATTGAACAGCTTGCAGCACAGCCTTTTGAGAAGAGACCCTATGCTTATCAAGAGGTACAGCGAACACATTGAAGACCAGGAGCGTCAAGGCTTCGTCGAGAAAATAGCAGACCCTCGCAAGCACGAAGGAGTCCTACGTTACGTCCCACACTTCTCTGTCTTCAAGTTAAACAGTGCCACAACAAAGATGAGAATTATACATGCAGCGCTCTTAGGAGCAAAAAATTGGCACAGTTTATCCAGAAAACCCTTACAATCGACGCTAACCGAGTAATACTTTGGTGTGACTCACAAATTGTGCTGGCATGGTTATCGACAGACAAACAACTACCACAATTCGTCGAGACTAGAGTCAGAAAGATCAAAGAAATGATGCCAAAACACTCTTGTAAATATTGCCCCACGACTTCAAATCCAGCTTATTTACTCACACGTGGTATACCAGTGAAAACATTCGCACGAAAATCCGAGTTCTGGTCCCTCTTGGATCTGACATCTGACCAACGGGCAACCAAAGAAAAAGCGACCCGCTATCGCAAAACAATTGGGACTATACCTGGACGAAGAAAACCTCATTTGATGCCATGGGCGTTTGCAACACAGCCCCCTCTCGGAAGAAACGAAATTCCCAATACTACTAGCCAAAGACTCAAAACTGACCGAGCTAATCGTAAGAAGGATGCACTCACGTGTCTTCCACAATGGAGTCCGTGAAACATTGACCGAAATCTGCCAAAAATACTGGATTCCGCAAGGAAGGCAGTGCATCACAAAGATCCTAAGGAAATGTGTGACATGCAGAAAAATAGAGGGAAAACCATTCCCACCAGCCAGTACTCCGTCTATGCCCAAATCACAGCTGTGTGAAAAATGCACATTTTACGTAACTGGGGTGGATTACGCTGGCCCTCATCTATGTGCCAACACAAGAGCCGTACACCTGGAAGTAGCAGAAGATCTGAGCGCCGACGCATTCATAAGAACATTCAGAAGGTTTGTCAGCAGACGAGGAGTCCCGAACTTGGTAATATCCGATAACGCAAAGAACTTCAAGGCAAGCTCCAAAGTTTTAACACCCTTTAAAGACAAAATCCGGAAGTCAGAGACCTCACAGCGCTTTCTCTCGAGCCATGGAATCAAATGGCAGTTAATTGCTGAACGAGCTCCATGGTGGGGAGGCTTCTACGAAAGGTTAGTTGGCATAGTCAAGCGTTGCCTCAAGAAAACAATCGGGAAAGCATCAGTGACCAAATCAGCGACCTAATCGCAATAATAACCGAAGTGGAGGCCGTGCTAAACAGTCGTCTTTTGACGTACCCATACGCAGACATCAATGAAGGCCCACCTTTGACACCGTCACACTTTCTCTGTGGTCGTCGCTTGCTAACACTCCCAGACACCACATCGAAGGAACAGGAATATGATCCTGACTTCGCGGGGCCGGAGAGCACTAAAGAGACGCTTACCAGACGGGCAAAGCATTACCAACACCTAAAGGCTTTGGGTCCGTTGGCGCAAGGAATATCTCACCAGTCTAAGAGAATTTCATAATCTAAAAAGAAGCAAAACTGAACTGCGCTGCGAAAACTGGCGACGTAGTCTTGATACATGGTGACCTACCGAGACTGCAATGGAAGATGGGTGTCTTCAAGGAGACCTTTCCTGGTAAGGACGGTCATTTAAGAGCAGTCATAGTACGGGAACCGGAAATGACCTCACCCCTCCAGTTGAAAAGCTCTACCCGTTAGAGATTACGAAAGAACCTGAGCAACCAGTCCACAAAGCCAATGACAAGGAAGACAAGACACCCCGTCCAGAGATGACAGCTTCAAAACAAGCAAAACAAAGAATTTTACAACTTTTACAACTTTTATTGGGTATCAATCAGGAAGTGCGGAAATTTTCTTGGAAAATTAATACAGTTATAGTTGTAAAAATTGATAACTAGTGAACCTAGAACGGCCAAAAAATAATCAGAAACAAAAGTCCCTGAGGTTCAGTTATTATCGAGCACGATGACTAGGAAACCGTTACGAACTAATGACCAAGTACATGTCAGATCAACATCAAATGTGCCCTCAAGCAAAGAAAAGTACCTTTGCCTTAGAAAAGATTTAAATTGAGAGAGACTAGGAAAAACACTAGTTGGCGCCTCTTTACAGACGGTGTTCYAAAGGCAAACTATCCTATTAAAGTAAGATGCTTTAAAGGTAGGGGTTTCACAAGAACCATAACAGGATTTCGAGTAAGACGAGTACGTCTATGTTTGGAGAATTTTGACAAAATCGTGAACATTAACGTTTGTCTGTCCATATAATGATTTATAAAAGAACATGAGATCCTTAATCTTTATATCATAGCAGAGAGGGAGCAAGTTCAATCCCTTTAGTCTTTGTTTATAAGTAGTTTCCCCAATCTTGGTCCTGAGGATACATCTGGTGGCACGTCGCTGTACTCTTTCGATCTATTCTTTTAGTTTAGATAGGCTCGGTGACCATA